GATTGGATGTCCATCGTCATCTCGTCGCGGTGGAGAAATCGGTCGCCAAGTGGCACCATGATCGAAGGTTATCACACTGGATAAATGTTCTGGTGATATAACTGGTTGAGTTCTGCCTCTACTGGTGGCATTGTTATTGAATGTAGAAGTAGAAAGAACGCGGGACGCAATATAGACTCCAAGAAGACCCTCAACACGGTATAAGTCAGCAAATGATTCTTCTGCAATATCACTGGAAATAAGACATAAATTAAAATTATATTACTTATTAATGATGATATAAGTACATATATCTTAATTGTAAAAAACAGTATATGATTGATCAATATTAAAGTTTTTTATATGTATCCTAAATGGACAACAAGAAAAATTTTAGCAAGACTTTAATGTCTTCATATCAATGAATTGTGTTATATCTATATACATACACATATAGAATAATATTTTTTGTAAAAAAATTCTTCATATCCACCTATGACATGTGTTATAGCAATATACATACACATATAGACTAATATTTTTTGTAAAAAAACAAACTTTATACTATAATATGTTGTTCTTATAAAGAAATTTGTATATTTGTTTAATTATCTTACCTCAGCCAGGTGTCAGTCCACGTACTATTGGAACATGGCACAAAATGCCTTCTAAGCTTAAAACAAAATTAATTCTAGAGAAATCTTCATTGCTCTCAGAAACATAGATGAGCTACAGTGTCACCATGAACCCCACTACCATCAGTCTTCTATCTGTCACATCAGCCACATGGATGGCTAGAAAGCTCAATTCTGATGAAAAATGAGCTACTACAAAAGGGCTCTTCGATATGAAATCAGTAGTTCTAGATTGTTCTGAAAAAAATAGTATTATGTTTAAGTTCCAAACATTGGTTTGAAATGATAGTTTTATTAATATTGTACCTTGTTGTTTTTCCTGGTGGCGAACATAAAGTCTCCTCTAACTAAGAAATCTTGGACATTGCCAATCAACACATTTGTCTGGGATAATGCGGTCACAGTAAGAACAGTACTTGTGTCCGTTGGTTCTGCTCTTTCAATATATAATAGCAAAGGCAAAGGAGAAGTCATTCTGAAATTATAAAAATGAACACTGAAAATGTATGCTTACTTCTTTGTGTTATCGTAAAAAATTTAAGTTTTTGAATATTTGAGTTAATTGTTTAGTGACCGTATATTTTAGAATAGTTATACTGCTAAGAACTTTAAGAGTAAGCACTATATTAGTAGGTCTAACCTTTTTCCATATAGAAAAATAAATATGTAAATACTAAATTTAGCAGTAAAGTATAGTTTCAGCAATGTGATTAAAATATTTCATAAATGGTTCAGAATTACATCATAAAATGGTATGTGAAGTATTTGAAAGATACTCGTTTTTGTATTCAAATATTTACAATATAATTATGATAACGAAACAATATCCAAAATAAAATTTTGACACATAAGAAAGCAACAAAATTAAGAGACTTATGCTGTTGACAAGTTGATTTATTTGATTTATAAAAAATCTTAAAACATAAAATATTATTTATATTTTTTGTGCCAATAAGTTTCTGAAATTTATATTTACTGCAATAAAATGTTAAATATAGTTGAGAGAAACATAGCAAATTGTTTGAAAAAATGATACATTCTATATAAAATATTACTGAAAAAAAAAAAACAGAAAATGTTGAGAAAATGCTACGTTCTAGAAACAAAAATATAAAAACTTATAAACTTATTACCTGGATCCACCTGAATAATTGATGCATCAGATGAAGAACCTGAAGACCATGCAAATGACTTCACATACTTCTGTAGGGGTGTAAATGTTTCTCCAAAATTTCTCGTTATGTACAACTAAAAATATAAAAAACATTTTTAATATATTCTCATTCTAATGATAATATTTAAAATACATTTTTTTATATATGCTGTACAATATGTAACGTACCCTATTATCATTAACTAATTATAAGTCATATCATTAAATTTTGTTAATGATTTTATTCGATAAAAATTGTAAAAATAAATATTTTTCAGTAACTGGATTAAAATACACAAAATTCAAACATTTTTATAAAATCTTACTGCAGGTAATATAAGCAATTGATTATCAATTTTACAGACAAACAAACAGCAAAGAAGATCTTGATTGGTTTCGAAAAAACGTTTATCAAAACATAGTGCATTTGTATAAATATTGTATCGAATTTTATCATTTATATCTATTATAATTGTATCTATAAAATCTTACCGTTTTCTGTTCATCAACTTCGTCGTGCACCAAATGTTGTTTCCGGGTCTTCGGGATGGAAATACAAATCGGAAGGTGTAAATGGGATGTCCCGCCTGATGAAAGTTCCAGCCATGTCCCTCGTCACAAACACACCTTGTAGTAGAGATCACGGAAAACGAACTAAAAAAAATAAATTAATATCAAACTAACATTTTAGAA